CCCCCCCCACGCCCCACAACAGAGCGGACGCTCCACAGCAGGGCGGCCCCTCCGACGCTCCACAGCAGGGAGGATTTCAGTCTGAAATCTTCTGCCATATTGTACAATGTATATTTATAAAAGCTGTCTCTCTCTTCCTCTCATTTCCAATTTTACTGTAAAAATACTGTTGCTGAAAAAAGGACTGTCAATAAAAAACCATAAGAATTCAAAAACCAAAATGAGATGATCAGTGCGGTGTTTTTCCCAGTCTGATCCTTTTCTTCAGTGCCAATATAAACATTTCAATGCCAATGTTCCTTTTCTCAGGTCAGACTTTGTTTTCAGTTCCAAAACCTAAAGTCACTCTCCTGCCTCCTCCTGCCATGATTTCTGTCTAGTGACTGTTTTTGATCACTGGTGCCATGGACAGATTTTGGTCTGAACGGAGGATCATCGCCCAGCCTTCGTCACGCTGACCGGGACCAGACTCCATCAGATGTCCCCGGTTTCTGTGCCCAAACATGGGGGAATGTTTGGAGCAGTTTATGCTGCTATAAAAAGCCCTGCCGCCCCCTTTATGTTCTGTTTCCCTGTACACAGATTCAATTTGTAGAAACTAGAGAAATGGCTTCATATGCTCATACGGTATACTTTCCCATATGTTTGCAGTACTTCTCGATTTCTTATCAAAGCACATCGTTTGTGATCACATCCTTTCCAGGCTCTGCCAACAGCGACGCTGTTTTTAAAGCCAGTTAAAACTGAAGTGAGAGCATCAGAAATGGAGGGAGGGCCAGTGAGATGAAGGAATAAAGAGAGACACCATCGCTACTAAATTCATTTCATCTTATTCTGCATCACAATCAATACACATCAATAACAGAACTGAATGAATGCCTTTGCATTTACTAAGTGCACCGACTGGTTGCACTGAGCAGTGTCTGCTGCCTTTTCTAACATGACAAACCCCGTGGACTGGAAAAATGTATTTATCTTTAATGAGATATGATGATATGCTTCAGCGACACTGACCTCTATTCAGTTCCTGCCAAATAAATCTTATTTTCAATTTGATCAACACAGAGAACACAGTGTGGGTGAGAGGTAGAGTCAGACAGAGCGACACAACGAGGAGGGGAAAACAGGACGGAGGGAAACCAAGAGAGAAACGGAAAAACAAAGAAGCTGAATAACTGAGACAGAAAAAGTGAGAAAGGCAGACGAAAGCTTGATTAAGCCAAATACAGAGAGAGAGAGAGAGAGAGAGAGAGAGACGGGAGCGTGCACCGAGGGCAGTGACTGACGTGAACTCTCCTCAGACACTGCAGTGATAAACAGCAAACAGATACACCACTCCTCCAGGAGCTCACCCTCACATTATTAACAGCGGTCTGGCTCCGCTGCACATACACCGCCATGGTTTGTTTTCCTGTCATACTCTGCCCCGTCCACAAGGCCCTCGGGCATTTTTCTGAGCCATCTGTGCATACTGATCTGCCTCTTGTTTGCATGATCGGATTTCCAACATGTCTGCCCGGACAACACTGAGAAGAATTACCAGTAACTGCAGTGACAGTGGTTGCAAAAGAAATGCATGTAGGATTACGATACCGTCTATGCACTGCTCAAGTTTCAGGTTTTAAACTGTTTAGGTTGAGAGCGTTTATGGACAGAGGGGGGCTCATTCTCAGCCTATCAACACTGCACCCAACAGCTTAACCTGGATAAAACCTCAGCAGGAGTATGACCCACAGCTGCTTTCCTCTGTTCAGGTCAGAGCTGGAGATTTGTGTCCCATCTTTAATTAGAAAATCAGACAAATTGATTAAAGCCAATATCAGTTAATCAAAGCTTCTCTGAGGACGGAAGGATCCAAGTGTGTATCCCTGAGATTAACATGTGCTCTTGCAGTGTTTATTCCAAATATCTACTGTATCTGCCTCTCTGCACTTTCTCTCTCTGAGAAAATCACTGTGAAGTTTTGACAACTACTGAAAAGTTAAAAGTAATTGTTGGTGACGATGCTTTTCCCTCATTCTGGATGTGGCCCTGGTACCCTGGCTGTACTTCCTGATAAACAGTCTCCGCAGACACTTACGTTTGATGACGGACAGAGCACACCACTGGACCTTCTTCCAGCGGCTGTGGATGAGCCACTTGTTGACTTTCTTCACCAGCTCGGCCAGGTGGTCCGGGTCCGACTTCATGATCTGGTCAAACTCTGCAAACTGGGCGGAGAGAGACGTGCAGACATATGAAACACTAACAAATCGAGTTGCTCAATATTTTTATCTTCCAGAGTCCGAAACACACTCAAGTCTTTATAAACCGAATTTTAATTATGTCCATAAGTAATTTAAGGCTAAAAACACAAAACAAAATCAGCTCGTAATTGAAAGTCAATTAAGGCAGTTTGTTCAGTTGAAACCTCTATAAATAATAAAATCAAGTGTTATGTCCTGATATACTATATATTTTGATCTAGTGATAATGTTTTTGTTAGTTCAAGTGAAATAAAAAAAACAGATTTATAGGTAGATATAAATCAATGTAAAATCATCTGCCAAAGTCCTACAGTGCCATAAATCAGTCCCCAGATGGACCAAAGGGAGACAAATAGCTAGAGAAACATCATCCGCGTAAAAAAAATGATATATTCCATTTTAGCCAAATCCCAGTGGTTGTAAATTCTGAATAGCTGGTTTAAAACATTTTATATTTTCACATTCAACTAGTGTCCAAGTAATAGAGATTCATTTCTGTGGTCTGTGAAAGGCCATTTCTTATTTCGCTAAAACATGATGGGAAGCACTGAGAGATTTATTTCAGCCACAGTGAAGTCTCTTCTTCAGCCCTGCATCATATCAGCGCTGCTGGATTCTGACACCTGGTCCATATGAACTGAAAGTCTGCTGTGCTGTGTCCTCTGGAAGCTTCTGACTTCCAAACTTAGCTGTGGCTGCTGCCTTAATAATGACAGAAGCTGCAGAATTCACATTTTTATTTTCTAAGCGTCTTCTTATAGTCGGGTTTGATTTCAGACAAACAGTTTGTTGGTGGAAGATGTCCACAGCTTCATGCCATCATGTCAATCCACGCTAACTGTGTTACTCCACACACACACCACCAGAGCCTCCTTCAGAGGGAGCTGTATGTCTGAGTCAGTCGACCCGGAACTTAAGCAGACTTTACTCTGCTAGCTCCCGAATACAAAGCCTGCGTAAGGTCTGAGTGCAGCTGTGCCTCAGATTACACATCAGCATCGATGCGTGACCTGAGCTAAAGCCTAAAACGTCTCTGCCTTTTAGAGGTCACTAAAGCTGGAAACGTCAAAACGGTCATTTAGCATCGTGTGATGTTCTGCATGCTGTTGTCATCAGATCCCTGACAGTTCCACAGGGACATGGAAACACCAGTATTTATTATTCTTTATCTCTGGCGTGTCCTGCACAGTCACATGCACTTCCACACGTCTAACCCAAGTGTGATGAATTATTCATCTAGTGGAGAAATAAAAACCCATGTGTTGGCTGTGCGTTGTTCGAGAGCCTCATCTCAGCTCCAGCCAACATGACTGATGTGCCACAGTAGCATGTGCAAGGAGGGAACAGAGTCTCACCTTCCCGGGCCTGAAGAACACTCGGGTCAGGCCGAACTTGTAGTCGTGCTCATTCAGTCCCAGGGCTTTGAATAAAGCCTGCAACACAAGCATGCAAGCCGTGGGGAAACAGGAAAATGGAGCTATATTTAAATGATAAGAGCTTAGAAGCGGGCCGGCCCAGAGGTTCTGAGGACTCACCTTGCAGAAGAGGCGCGGGTCGAGCCGTGTGAGTTTGGGAGGCATGTACTTCTGGTACATATTGTAGAGCTCGTGAAAAGGAGCTCTGGAGGGAAAGCCGCCCTGCATCAGGTCCAGCACCGACACCATACCTACGGCAGCAGGGAGGGGTCACAAACAGCAAACTCCTTCAGTTGTCACACATACACTGCTCATTTTACTGTGGCACTGACCAAATGTGTCTGTAGCATAGAGACTAGCTGGCACCAGACGTCCGAGTCATAACCTCTGGATTAGTTTTCACCTCTCGCACCTTGTTGATGTTGCTGCCAACTCATATCACCACAGACTGACTTGTTTCTTGTTGCTGTTCTTTTCCTTTCTCTCTCCTCTATCCACTCACCCCAACCGGTCGAGGCAGAAGGCTGCCCACCAAGAGCCGGGGTCTGTCGGAGGTTTCTTTCACCCCGCTGTCGCCAAGTGCTGCTCGAGGGGGATTGTTGGGTTTTTTCCTCTATAATAATAATAATAATGAGGCTAAGGCCTAGACCTGACTTTGTAAACTGTCCTGAGACGACTGTTGCTACGATCTGTCGCTACACAAATAAACTGATCTGAACTGAATTTTGTTGCCTAGTCATTCTTTATTAACTAGTACATATCACTGTCACCACATAATCCACTGCTGTTAAGTCTTAAAATTGCCAAATGTTCATATTCTTTTCATTCTCTTTCCATCCAAGGACATCTGTTTAGTGTATTTTAGTAAAATACCTTCAATATTTAGTAAATTGTAAACAACCCCCTTTTGGCTGTTCTTTCATAGCCGCACTTCATTTTATCTGACAAGCTGAATCTCAACAATTACAATTTCTGTCCAGCTTCTCAAAGGAACCTGTGAAAAACATCTTGCTTTTTATTGCGATCTCACCCTCTAAGGATTCAGGCAGTAGGAACTTGGTGCTTTAGTTTCCAGAAAACTGAAGCTTACCTGATAGAAATATTCAGGCTAAGTGATGGCGTTCCTGAACAGTTTATCCCAGTGTTAGTCTCCCCCCACTGGCTGCCTCTAAAATCCCTCACTGGTTATTAAGCTCTGCTTCTAACTTATAAGGTATTACACAGCTTCAGTATGTCACTGATTTACTAAAGCCCTCTAAGCCTGTCTGGTCTCTTCACATGAGAACAAGTCAAAGGCTGCTGGGGACCGAGAATCCAGCCCCGTCCCACGGTGCCACTAAACCCACATCTCATTTTTCAGGGGAACAACCCACAATAGAAGCGTTTGTTTTGGGTGCTGAACGTCCAGTTTTGGACCCAACCACCTCACGCTGTTACACAGAGGCTTTCCCCATCTATTCCAAAGCATCGGCGTTTCGAATCCCAGACCAATCAAGGTGATAAAGAGCTTGCCAGGGTGCGGTATCTGAACAGGGCATCGCTGAGTTTGTGTGGATGAAAGCAAAATCAGAATCTCTGAGGATATTAAACCCGAGCTCAATTTCTTTTTCTCTCAACCTGAGGGGAGGGAGGGCAGCACTGCTCACACGCTCTTTGGTTTGAGGAAAAGAAAAAAGTTTAAGAAACTGGTGTGAAAGTTACAATTCAAGCTCAGAACACAGAAATCTAGTTGTACGAGGCGGGAAGTAATGCAGCCGAGGAGTGTGTGATTGGAAAAGAACAGCGTGTTACATCTAGGTATCGGGGTTTCTGCTACGATCCAATCAGCAGCACATGGAATTAAATTTTAATTAGTTTTTCACAGTCATATTGTCCAAAGGATGAAAGGATGGAAGGATACGGCCTCAGATCACTTATTATACTGTTAAACCACATTTATTTGCAGTTCTTCCAGGCAGTAAAAGCATTATTTTCTAATGATATACTAAATTACATTTACACAATCTGAGCCACGATAAGCGACGTAATCTCGGTGGATTTAAACAAAAACTGAGCTGAGCTTCAGCAGCGGTGGCGACTGTGTGTGCTGCTGCAGCAACATGAACGCAACGAGGACGACACATGGCCCTGCCACACAAGCCACTGTCACCACAATCCCACCTTTAGTTTGGAGGTGTGGGACATCTCCTGAGGGTAAATCACCAAACTGTGTGTGGTTTTAACTGACAGTGGACATCGCCACATCTAACCAACTTTGTCTAACAACAGCTGTAGTTTCAGTGACGTGATAACTGCAGAAACACTGAACAATGCTTTTAAATTTTGGATGATGTCCTTAAAACTCACCCGTACAATCTGTTTGTCTGAAGATTAGTGTTTTCTAAGCAGCATTTCTAATAAAGCAAACACTTCTTTCTTTTTGGCAAATGTTTCAGAGGTTGAGTCCCTCTCTGTGTTTGTCCTTGGTTCTTTATCCTCCTGTGTAGTCAGGAGATTTCTTGACATTGTGTGTTTATTCACTCTGTAGAAGAACATCTGGTTTTTCTATATTAAACAGGATCGGGCTGTACCGACAACAAACGTGTTTAACACACTGAAGGGAAAGATTATAAAAGATGAGAGATGTCGAGGCTGAAGTGTTAATTGCTGTTACAAAACCTTGAAGAGTGCCGCATACAACCTCTACTAGAATCCCACAAATGTGTCTGCTAGGGGATAAATCTCTCAGCAGAGCCTGGTAAAGCAGCTTGTACTGCTTCAGCCAGGCTTATTTTATGTAACCACAGCGGTCATAGTGGCTTAAACTCATGACGGAGGCGGCTTCATCTGGAAATCCGATCGCCAGGAACATCAGGGAACATGAGGTACAGCTAGAAGTTAACAGAAGGAAACGTACTGTTTTCATATTGTGTCCGACTACGTCATGTTAAACTTTTACCATCTGTATTTTTGCTGAATGTCAAAATGAAGTGTTAACTCTTTGGATTCACACATTTGCTAGCATGTAGTTTAGCTGAGACGTATGGACAGAAGGACAGACCAGCTTTTACTGGCTATTAAACTTAATCACTGATTTAATTGCCCATATAAATATTCACTGTTATTTAGCTGTAAATCACTGAGATCTCTCCAAGAAAGAGCAACACAGTAACGAGTATAAGGGGAAATGCAGGAAGTGTGAGCCGCTACAATTATTACATCCCTGCTCATTATATTCATGTTTATAAGAAGAATAAGGAAATGATGCAGCAGGTAGATGGTTCATAAACAGACATCAATATCAATCAGTTTCCCAGAAAGACCATCTCTGATCTCCTCAGTGAGAGGCGGAGATGTCACGTCTATCTCTGCTGCCACACAGTGGGATTCAAACATCGTGCACAGCAGTGAATGGACCAGATTCCACAGAAAATACTGACCAGAGCACTGCAGCTGGGAGAGAATCTGACCTCCTTCAAACTGGTGGTTAACCATCTTCAGGTTTGGCTTAATGCAGCGAACGAAACTGGAGCCCTGGATGAGAGGAGGAGGGAGAAACCCGGGGACACAACAGGAAGAGAAACTGGAATCATTACAGTAACAGCAGGAACCACAGACTGTAACAGAGGTTCATGGCATCCATCAGATTCAGACTCAGGCAATGATGCTCTGTGTATCTCAGGGGAGACACAAACTGCAGGTGTTTGTCTTCAGTGACATGTACAGAGCTGCAGAAGGGCGAGGGAGAAACACTGACCGTGCTGCGGAGCTTGTCCAACAGAAGATTCAGCTGGGTCTGTGGAAAGAAACAGAGAAATAAACGGTTTCAGTCTGTGTGATGACAGAAATGTAGACTGGAGTTTGAGCTTATGGGAGCCACAGAACCACGAGCTGGAATCCAGTCTGTGTTGGTTAATTAACCAAAGAATGAATAAACAAACATCAGTTAACACACCTCAGTGAGTGTTCAAATAAATTACTTGTGTGTACAACATTTCAAATAAACTGCACACAACACAGCAGAAGGAAGAAACGGAAACACAACAACCTGCAGTTCATTCTGACATTTCCCTCATTTCCCAGACTCTCCAAGCATTTGGCTAACGGAAGGTTCCCTGGGGAGTGTTTTCTGTTTTGTGGGTTCCTGTTTTGTTTGTCTCGCACATGAGGAACAACGCATACACAAGAGACACAACTTCTCAGTGGTTTCACACTATTTCACTGATCAACAGGAAACACGGCGATGCAGCTGTAACAGTTCATGTAAGTATAACTCTCTGAACCAGAGCTTATTCATCACACTTGAGGTTTGGACTCAAACATACCAGATTTTCCACAACACATCTGGCAGGTCATGACGTTGGAAGCCAGCTGGCTAGACGCTCATGTTGCCTCTGCATCAGTGCGGTTTGTTTAAAACTGGAAGGTGTGCTGAGGTCTCTGTCGTCAGACCCTGTAAACATCCAGCCACTGCCTCATTCTGGCCCCGTCCCGATGACCAGACGTTCAAGGATGAACAATACCAGCTGCACTGTTTTGCTCAGTCAGTGAGATTTTCAGAAACCGTTTCCAGGGCTTCTATGTGGAAATGATGCTACTGTAACTAAACACCCCAAAACTGCAGTTATATCATTCATATTTTTGTGTGCGTTTGCTACACTTTGGGTGAACAAAGATCTAATTTCTCTCAATCAGGCTCCTGTTTGCTCTCAGCTGCAGCGCGATGAAGCTCACAGCGGCAGATCAGATGCAAAATCAAATGCAATCATGATTAAGTTGTGGTATGAACCTCCAGATCTGTAATGATACGCAGCTTAACGGGCAGTTTGTGGCCCAAAGCTGCCAGTGCCAGAGCCTGAGATTCAATGGGGTATTGTATTACTGCCTGGTACATGTGGGAACAATTACTCAGAGACCATCGAGCTGCACAGTTTGGGGCTGACAATGCTGCTGAGGTGGACGAGTGAGGCACCAGGGAGAAGAAAACAGCTTTAGCAAAGAAAAGCTTTTCAATTCAATTTGCATGAGCAAGAATCCTCTTACTTTGCAGCCCGTCACGGGTCAAAAAGGATTAATTCCTTACGCCTCCCGCAACTCGCTTTGAATAGCAGCAGGGCAGAGTTTCAGCAGCAAAACTTCATCAAATCTGCATCATCAACGTCTAAGTTCGGGAGTAGAACAGCAACTAACGACTAAGCCAAAAAGCTTCCATTTACAGCTTTGCCACAGCTGGGTTTCCCATCAGATTCTGTCTTAGTACATTTCTACAGTGTTTCTACTATTGAACTCCTTTCACGTCATTAATTATTCTGTACTGTAGCCAGAATGACAAACTAAACTAAAAAGTGCTTGCTTCAAATTTTCTCATTCACAGAGCTCTTTCATTATTGATGAATCATCAATATTCCAACACAGGAGGGTTGTACCTTCTCCAGTCGGGTCACCGTCATCATGACCCTCCTCACTGTTGCTAGCCTGTAGCGTCGGCGATGCATTATTCAGTCTCATTATAACGTACGTTTCTGAGTCGTGAACAGCACCTGCACCATGTAAATGTGTCCTGACTGTGTACTAATTAGGCTCAATAATGGAAGGACAAACAAACAGCGATCAGACAGGGACAGCACACGTGGCGGCTGCTAGCAGCTGTTAGCATGACAGCAGCATCCTTGTTTATCCATTAATGTGTTTGTTGGACGCAGCCACATCAGAGAAGTTTCCCAGTCTGACCAGAGCATCTCATCTCTGCCCTCTGGCAGCAAGAGAAGCATCACGTCCAGTGACTGAGCTGGAGGCAGAGGGCGCCATCGAGAGCAGGAGACTCCTGCGTGTCCACACACACACACACACGCACGCAACCCTCGGCCACACTGTGTCAGCCCTGTTTCAAATTCCTTTCAGAGTGAAATGTCTTTGGAGTGTCCTTGTGTATAAACTGTTTACATCTTCCAGCAGCTTCTTCGTGAGTCCTGTTTATGTGATGTGATTAACGGACACTTTCATAAACATGACGACTTTATAATTCCACGAGGGCCGTCGCTGGACGCTGTGCAGTGGAGCCGAGGTATCCACATTCGGTTTTATCTTTCAATTTCAGACCAAAGCAGGTCCAATTACCATTGTGTCTCTGGAGCAGGACGCCCTTGTTATGATGTATTCGGCCTCTGATTTAGGATGAAGCTACAGTGTGTGGCTGTAATGAAAGCCCACAGGCCCTCCACCTCTCACAGCCAGCCAGGAGGCGGTGTCCTCCGTCACCTCCGCTCACTCAGATTTATCACTGCGCTCTTCCCCCCTCTCCCCATATCAAGAGCTCCTGTCTGCCTATCCACATCCTCCTCCACACCTCTGGAACCTTAATCACAGCTGGGATAGAGAAAGGGGAGCAGGGCGGAGGAGGAGGGATGAGGAGGCTTTAGGAACAACTACAGGTAACAGAGCTCACAGGTAACACGGACTCAATCTGCTCCGAGTCCAAATCCACCCAGAGAAGAGCTCTGCACGCCAATCACTTCACACACCTGCTGATTATTCTGCAGTGTCACGTGCACTAGTAGAAACTAGTGCTTACAGACTTTTTTATTGTTTGACACTTTTGTGTGCTGTTTGGTAAATTCACTTTGGCATATCTATTGTGATTTATTACATATAATAATTATCATTATCATCATCATCATCATAATATAATTATGATGATGATTATTATTCAGAAATTGTTGTGATAATGTAACCGTGAGTCTGCAGCTCACAAAGGTGACGTCTCTCTACAGGCAAACTTAAAACCCAGCACATACACACCACATCTCCGTATGCATGAAACACTCAAGTATTAGAACACGAGAGACACCAGCGTTCCTGTGGATTTTGTAAAGAACTGGCCTCCGCCTGAGCCGAGCGCCGCTCTCTGATAACAGACCCCTCACTCCCTCGGGCTCTGTGCTTTCTCTCCCATTATATCCATGACTGAGTGGAGCCAAGCGCTGTGGTTTTTGGCTCACCTTGCCTTTGGTGAGGTGACACATTAGAGCACATATCAAGGTGAGATGCTGAGTCACGGTGGAGGAGAGTCTAACATCCCTCCTCCATAACTACAGCTCTCTCTGCTCTGAATGTGCCAAACAACACAGAGAGAGATGCGCCTGCTGTTCTGATCCATGGAGTGTTTGAGTCTTTCTGTTCCTGTGACAAGAGAATTACAGCAACCAGTGTTATAGGCAGATGTGAAACATCAGAAAAGCCTCATCCTAGCTATTTTCAACAGAAACTGATTATTTAAAAAAAAAAACCCTTTGCATTTGGTTAGATTTTAGTCTCCCTATCCTTAAGCTGCACTGAAGGGACCTGAGCACTGACAGCTTCACTCCGATCATACAAACCACAGTCTGCAGCATCTGCATTTGGTGAAGTGTGTAGTGTTTCTAAACCTCCCAGTGACGGGGAAGATACGCTGAAAACGCAGCTTTTCAAGCAACCAGATTCTTCACAGTGGAACAAGTTGAACTACAGCAAAGCTTCCCAATCTAGTCTGGTTAAGTAAAGCTACTCAGATAAACTAGTTCTACTTTGTTGACAAACTGACAAAGCGCATGTGATACAAAGTCACATGCCAGAAAAAACTCTGTGCTGTGGTATATACATGATGTTATTAAGGCTTGGTGAGTGTAGAATAAAGTCTTGATACCAAATCTGAAAGCTGTTGTGCATTTATTCCATGCAGGGAAGGGGCCATCTCCGTACAGAGTGTTAACAGAGTGAGGCTCCTAGAACGGAGGGCGACATCTCTTCTTAAACACACATACAAATGCAGGAAACAGATGCACAACAGGATACAAGTTATCAGGTTGAGCATTCACACAAAGGCATGTTTATCTCTACAAACATGCTGATACAGTAGCAACAGTCAATGCACTAAAAATGGTGCTGATAACAATTTCCCATTACACCTGAGACCTGAACCCGTCCTAAATCAAACAATCCCATCCCAAAGACTACATGGTTGCACCTGTGCTGCGATTCTGCTCACCTTAAATTTGTTGCCAACGCTGATGAAGCTGAGTTTTCCCGCCTTCTGCTTCACATCTTTGTTGTTGTTGGCGTTTTCGAAGAGCTCATGGACGAAGCGGTCCTTGGACTCGCTGACCAAACACTCCAGAGACATGTGCAAGGCGTCGTTGTTCTTCTCCACAAACTTGGTCTGAAACACCAGAGACAGATGAACTGCACGCTCGGCCGCAGCCCTGGAGGCCTCCCTGCATCAGCCTGACCTCACTGTCAAAAGCCTATTCTTGCTGAGAAACTCATTTTTGGGCTGGTTGTTTCCCTGTGGCTTCACCTGCCCCTGCCCACTGCACAGGTGGCGAATAACGTCCAAAGCAACAAATAACCTCCTGCATGTTGAATCTGTGTCTGTAATCTAATCTGAACAGTCACTTGCCTTCATGTTAGAAAGATGAGGGTGAGTGTTTTCTACAGTCCAGTGATTAAAGAAAAGACATAAATAACTGAATGTGACAATTTCAAAGATGGCTCCAGGAAAGCAGAGCCGAGTGTTTGTGTGAACGCACCGTCTCGTAGCACACGGCTCCTGCAAAGTGTCTGATAATAAATCCTTCATCATCCCTGACGTTTCTGTGGACGGTCAGCTTCGACTTCCTGGGTACCTGTGGGACACACACACACACACACAAGCCAATCGTGTGTGAACTCGTGCACACACACACATTAAAGCCCTTAGACTCAGCAGAGTTTCTGCATAAATTCCACCTACACCGACATGCTAATTACCAGCCCTGTCAATCACTCTGGGCTGGAAATGAAGATCAGCGACGCCACATCACTCAGACACTGAACCTCACTGTCCTGGCCTGAAGGTGACACAACCCTAATTCTGACTTCAACCGCATCGGTTTATGGATAAAGACTATGTGAGGAACACAACAAGGGCAGAGATAGTGTGGCTAACAGCTGAGAGAGCAACAGTAAATCAATGAAAATAGAATTTTTACAACTGGATAAATGCGTGTGAAACATGACTGCAGAGCCGCTGCAACTAGTTAAATACATTTTGAAACACTTTCTAGCCTTCTTGTTGAGAATGAGATGAGAAGATCGATGCTAATCTCACTTCACTGAGCTCAAGTCGGGAGGTGAGTAGTTTAGCTTAGCGCACGGGCTGGAAGCCAGGACACAGTTACACACAACCTTACCAAGCGTCCTCACGACGCAGGGCAGAATGATGCTGTTTAAATGTTTTTTAGATGTTGGGGCCTGTTCACAGCCCAACCAGGATAAAAATGACTGTGTAGCTAGAGGTTCTGAGGCTCAGAGACACTGGCAACAGAATGAAACCCTCAGCAGCCGACAGGCCAGACAAACCACGTGCAGCCACTTGTCTCTTCCATCCAGCAGACTGGATTATTGTAATGCTCTCTATCTGGTCTGCCCAAGAAGAAGTCATAAATTAGTTACAAATTATTCAAACGCTGGGTGAGAGCTGAGCAGGATTACACCTTCTTTTACTTGGTTTAAAGCGCTTCATGGTGTTGCCCGAGCTTTTTGTGTGACATCTTTGAAATGCATGAACCAGGGCGACCCCTCGGGTCCTGTAGCACAGGTCCTTTAGTCGCTCTGAAGTTCGGGACAAAAACTTCTGGTGAGGAGATTTTGGCGTTTATGCACCGAGGCACTGGATTTTTGGATCTTCTACAGCATAAAGATGCCCTTCTCTGTTCAACTCAGGCATCTTTCAGGAAAATAGCAGCAGCAATGCAAAACTGCACTTTGCACTTGGTGCTGTTTGTTGGTTAAGGTTGTTGTTGTGAGTTAATAACTGGGGATGTGTCTGTTCCCACTAGGAGTTACATTTGTACAGGATGTCCAAAGGTTTAGTAATATCCTAGTTTCCATTTTTATCCTACTCCATTTGCTCGAGAACTTTAAAAGAACAACTTCCTCCTCGTATTTCAGAGTCTCTCACCGTCAGGCGGAAATGGTCCTTGTGCTTGTTGTGAATAGTGTCGGTGAAGTGCTGGTCACTGGGCTGAGGCAGCCGGTTCTCCTCATCCAGGATGTCCAGGATGCCGACCAACTTCGCCTCCACCAGGTCTGTGGAGAAAGCACAAGAAGTCACAAACTGCTGTAGATCACCTGATCCCACCAGGCTGTATGAAAGCGAATGGGATGAGGTGCGGAGATTCAGTTTGTCCTGATGGGACTGGGGAGGCGGTGGGGAGCAGGGGCGATGTCACCCAGCTTGTGAACATCACTGTGTCAGTATAGCACCCTTGTAGTTATTTATTTTAAAGTCTTGACTTTGGATTTATACCTGTACAACCCTCTGATTTTATCTATAAGAAAACCTTCACTACAAAGGGTGAGCTGGAAAACAAGCAATTAATTCTGCAGCTCAGTGGTAAGCTCTCGTTGAGCTGCAGCTTCAGGCATCAAAAACATTTTAAAACGAGTTCCGTGTCTTTGGCATCAATATTTGATTAAACTGAATAATGTAACATTTTGTGTTGCTGTTGTACATTTTGTAAACTGCAGTACGACGACTACTGCAGCTGTAACTATACTGCTGGGAAGGCCACCACAAAATATCAGAATCAAACATGATACAAGTCTGTCAAACATCTCTAGACCGATGTTGGGCAAAGCCTTTACATATTGTCCACACCATTTTATTCGCTCACATCCGACTCATTTCCTTAACCCAGAACTGGAGGTTTACACTGAGTAAGACAGAAAAAGGCCACATTGAGTAGAAGCAGGTCAGTGCCGCAGTGACCTGGCAACGAGGCTGTGAGGAAAAGGTGCCAGAGAAAACCAAAAGCTCCTGTGTGTGAGAGCTCAGCGAGAGGAGAGCAGAGGAGGGCGTTACGGGGATGATTCACTGACTCTGAGGATGACGCGAGGTGTTGTTGACAAGACAAAAGCTTTCTAAAAGAAACCGTCTCTCTGAGTAATGTTTCCTGACATGAGCTGACACACACACACACACACACACACACACACACACACCGAGGAGGCTCTGTGGTCCACACTCCCACACTGCCAAAGCCACTGCATCCAGCAAACCAAGGCCAGTGCAGTAGCGAGCACAGTGGACTTGGCTCTGACCAGCAGCCAGATTTCATCCTGAAAACCCCACGAGACACCCCTTCATCCCTTCATCCAGCCTTCACCTGCTCTCAGGAAACAACTAGAACACAGACCAGAACAAAACTGGATCAACAAACTGGTCATCTGCTCTGACCAACGCTGAGAGAACAGCAGATGGATGAATTAACAGAGATGTCCTCAGCTGATCTGGACATACATTAATGGATCAGTATCAACTAAAACAAAGCCGATTGATTCCTGATCCTTTTCAACTTTTACTCCGCTGTGTTCATGCCGACGTGTTCTGTCCAGTGCTACACAGCTGTTCTCCTTTACAGCAGCTGCCTTTGGTGAGCATTTACACCAACGGGAGAAGCAGCTCTGCCACGTGGAGCTTCAGCTACTGTGTGTGCAGGGCTACAGTTTCACACAACAAGGATGCTACGATCAACATGTCCAACATGACGAGACGTCTTGGAAACAAAAGCATCCCAGAGCAGAGCGACTGATGGAGGTGAAAGCAACACCAACTGATGAAGTGTCCCAGGAAGTGTCACTGGGACACTGACAAACCAGTTACAGACAAGCTGACTGAATGCATCACACTGGACCAGCACACATCTCTGCTGGTTTCTTTTGGAGCTATGGTAGAACCTACCATAACAACTCTGCCTGACCAGAGTTGTGCAGTGAGACTCGGGTCCATCTCCGAGTGTCAGATGTGACTGCTGTTAGTTTCTCCAGCCACATCTGGAGCCTGGACTGGGCTCTCATTGAACTCTGTGTTCCATAATATTAAACCAGAACATCACTGCTGTGCAAACTAAACACATTACTGACATCTGACAAACAATGGACAGTATAAACTGAAAGAAAACTGAATGAATGACTCGGTGAATAAATGAACTGTTTACACTGGATGAACTTTAATCTGATGGCTGAATTACTGAATAGGTAAATGAATGAATGGTCAAAAGAAGGCCAGTACTCTCAGCATCATTCACTCAGCTTTACTGTAAATGAATAATATTTGTATTCATCCCTTATGGTACTCCTCTATGATGAACCAACTGAGGAGGAAGGACATTGAAGAATGGACTCTGAATAGTCAAATCATAATCAAAGTGCTTAAAATACTTGTAGGCTTATTTCTCAATAAATACGTTGGCTCTTTTTATAAACAAACAAAACTAATGAACACCTGACAATGCATCAACTACCAAACTTCCCTCTTGGAGTTTAAAGTCTTTAGTTTTTCCGGTTTCCACTGGTGTCTAATCTTTGGGCATGCAGTCACGGACCTGCTGCTACGTCACCTGTGGTGTTTGTGTGGACACAGTGGCTGCTGCAACACTTCGAGCCAGTGAACAGAGCCGGTTGTTAATGGTCCGTGTTGGATCGACGCTGCCTCTCTCCAGCTGAAGCTGCTGTAGTTAAGCATCTCATATTGATGCCGTTTCACAGGAGCCGGACATCAGCAAAAAGCATAATTAACCTGCTTCACCTCTAATCACCTGACATCCATCTCCCTCCCTGTTTATGAAGTAATAAAGACACATTTCAGTCAGGACAGGACCTCATAGGCTCTGGGGCTTCATTACCGTGTCTGTCCATGAAACAGCGCCAAGTCTCCAGGGTCAAACTGTGCAGAGGCGAAGAGGGCATGCAGCCAGCACTGTATTAAAGCCAATAATGAGCAGCACGCCGCCCCTCATGGCTCATAAACACAATCATCAATGCTGCCTCCTCCTGTGAGGCTCAAGAAAGCTATAGGCACAAACCCCTGGCCGAGAAAATTAAAACCACAAATACTATGAAGTAAAACCAGCAGCAGTGCCCTGGACCCTCCAGCAGGCAGAGCAACACCTGGTGCATCTCACTGTCACACTGCACCACGACATGCAGTAACAGAGGGGAAGCAAGTAAATCTCACATCTTGTCTATTAAATCCTGAGTCCAGGCCGACAAGTCGGGCCCCGAGTTGAAATGTAAAGGTTCCACAACAAGAGAGAGGAAATACAAAAGTCTCGAGGTAAGAACGTAAAGTGGTTTCCCACTGGTAGATAAGAGCTTCCCTCTGCTACCCCCACCCTCTGATGCACTGCACCTACACATGATGTGCACTGTTGACAGAAAGGGACCAGCCCTCCAAACTGCACTGTTGTTGTAGTGTGACGACACGACACTGCACTCTTTACTTTGCTTATTACTGGTCACCACTGCTGATCTGACTTCATCTGATCTTAGATATTTACTGCTTGTTCCTGTGGTTTTGTGTTGCACTGTGGCTGTTGTGTATATGCTGTACATTATACATGTATATGAGTAACACCAAATTTCATTGTATGCAAGTACGATGACAAGAAAGACATTGAAAACAAAACAGGCCTTGTCAGCTGTGTAACCTAATGTTGGACTTTGCCGCGGTCTCCCCCATCAGGACACATGCTCTGCTGGATGCTCAAGCACCATCTGGGTACAACCAACACTCTGAACTCCACACGGCTCTGAGTGCAGAGGGATGAGCGGTGTGTTCATACCTATGCAGTCCTGATTGTCGACGTAGTGAACCTCGTTGACTCCGAGCCCCTCCCTCTGGTACAGCTCTTGCTCCTGGAAAACAAATGAGATATTTCTAATGAGAAGCCATCACGATATTTGGCATTCATCTAATGAGGATGGGGACGACACCACCGCTGGTCGTGGAGGGTGTCCAAGCTCCAACAAGTGGCCCTTACACCGGGCTTTCTGCTATTACACCTTTGTGCTGAATGAGCACCTAAAAGTTTACAGCTTCAAGGCTGGATGATGCCAACATCTGAACACATCTCTTGTAGTCTTTACTTCGGGGGTTTAAGGTAAAATGAGGTCGAACATTTGTGGAAATAGCTCTGATAATTACAAAATGAAAGCCAAGCACAATTTTTTTTTTTTTTTTTTTTTTAACTGATGCTTCATTTCAAAGAAGTTTTCCAACAAAGTTCCAACAGATTTTGCCACCAGGTCAGCTGATTACATTCTGCAGCTGAACTACAATCACACAACTATCCGACATGTGGGACCTCAGGGCCGGCAGCTGAACAGCTTCTCCCTCACCATTTATTTTGTCAAAAACACCTCTACAAATGACAAAAATACCATTATGGAGGCAGCCGCTCTCCAAGGTCGACGACTGCCCGGCGTTGGCGGAGGTCTGAGCGCTCGAGTGCCTTCTAGTTTGTTAAGTGAAGACCTTCATTTGCAAAAAAATTATGTAATCCCAACATCATTATATTTCAAAATAGAAACACAGTGTTTCTGAACATTCTACACTTGGGCAGCATCGGTTTTCACATCAACAGCCACTAATGGTTGTCTGGGTGCTGAAGATGATGATGATGATATGGAAATGGAGAGTTTCACCGGCAATGACAACAATTTGGAGAAAAACCAGATGACTGCTGTTACAAAAACAGTTTAGTGAACATGAAAAAAACTTTGTCCCTCGTGAGTCTGCAGCTGTTTGCTGTCCAACACGAGAAAGACATTTAAACGATGTGACATCCATCCAAAAGGGAAAATCACGTTTAGCTTTTACAGTTTCAAGGGCCTGAAATATGATGGCTTTAATCCAAAAATGATGAATATTTGAAAGCGTGTCACCTACTAAAAAATGTTCACATCAATCAGTGGCTTCACAAAGTTTTTACTTTACTTTTTTTAATTTAATTTGAAATTGATAAAATTACCCTTGTTGCCCATTAATCTAGACTCAGAACCCAGAATGACAAAACCAAAAACTGAAAAGTCTCACAAAATGTATTCAGAGCCAAATAATCAGAGCATTCAAAGCCAAAGGTGAAGGGCCCGGTGTCGGCGCTCACCTCTTTCAGGATGCGCTCATTGAAGAACTGCTGCAGTTTCTCGTTACAGTAGTTGATGCAGAATTGCTCAAAGCTGTTGTGTTCAAAGTACTCTGCAAAACAGAAGCAGCAGAATCAGAGGGTCATTAAAACCATTCATTTTAGGAAATCATGCACTGCTTAGGTGTTTCTTTGACAACATGCTATAGTGCAAAACAAACTGCTGTCAGTGTGTCTCTGCTCTCGGGCGAGAAACCTTTAAATATCTACTGTACTCAGCTTTGTCAGAGGATTCCTGAAGCAGTGCTCAGTCATGCAATGTTCTACTGGAGCTTTAAAATTGCTGTTTGCCCTTTTCTGGGATTTATTTTCAGGCACTTTAGGAGAGTCAGATTATTATGCTATACTTGTATTTTCTTTCCTCTAAACTCCTTCAGAAAAATCTCATATAAATGTCACCGATTCACAGCACGAGGAACAAAACTATGACTTTTGATACTAAAATTCCACACTACTCCATAAATGGTAGTATGAAGAAAAAGTGTTGCTCGTCATCAGTTTACAGGAAAACATCATTTGGATATAAAAGCTTTGATTTAATTTCTGAGAAGCAGGTTTGAGCTGAAGAGGTCTGCGACTTTCTGAAGCCTGGAAAACATCGTTGTTCTAACCCCGATGACGTCTGTGCCAGATCGTTGCAGTTTTAATCCGTTTCCCAAAAAAGTAATGTTTATCTTTAGATGTCAGTGAGGAGTTTTGAGGGATACTTACCAAAGCCAGCAATGTCCAGGACGCCAATGAAGGTGGCGGAGGAGTCGAAGGGGAAGCACTGGTTGACTCTGGTCACCACATGGTCGAACAGACGGCTGTACACGGCCTTGGCCAGGGCGTCCCGAGCGTTGTTGGCCTGCTCCACTTTGAGCGGCACTCTACAGCAGACACACAGGAGGAAAAACAAAGAGTCAAAATACCACGCACAGTCCTGATGACTGAAAGAAGAGAAGGCATAGTCTGGCTTATGTTGTGAAGACATTTGTTTGAACGCATCCATGTCGGTTTAGTGTCAACAACCGAGGACAACTATCTAGTATTTATTCAACTTGAACTAAAACTCCCATACTACTCCTTATAAACAGGAGAAAATGTCTTGAAATAATCATTTTGTGGTCAAGAAATGTTGAATGGCACCAGTTTAACCTCTTAAAGAAGCTGAAGTTCACAGCTGGAGCTGAAGTGACCTCCAAAATGCAGCCGTGAACGGGGTTACGGTGTCAGAGCATGTCTAAGCACTGAAAATGGCTGTTGTGAAATGCTGAAAGGGATAATGATAGAAAGCTCCAGAATGTTAGTAACTGGACCTTTGAGCTTACTGTGGATTATTTGATACACTTACTGCAGGTAAAGGGAGAGAATGTGTTTTTATTCAGAAGACTGAAATGTCACTGAAAGACCTAACTGCAGCAAATTAAAGAATTAAAGTTCTTTAACACAGGACAAAACAAGTCATTGCAAAATGTCGTCTTGGATAATTTTAATGGTATTTTACAGACTCAAAAATTAATTAATTGAAATGTCTATCAACTGTACATCTGACAGGAGAATATATGCAAAGCAAACCTTCCGTAACAACCTCTAGTCGGCACAGGCAGCGTATTAAAGCTCGATGCCTAGTCTGGTCAATCATAAGATCATACACCACCTGTTAAACTGTAAAGCTGGTGCACCTCTGACCTCAGAGTGCATGAATTTATCTTTATTCAGCTGTTAAATGTGTCAAACTAATTGCCTAAAATCAGCATAAACATAAATCTGTTTCTGGAGGATAAAGGCTAAAGGAGTCATTATTTGGCCGCAGGCCGACGTGTGGCTGGAGTGAACAGGGCTTGCCTGACTTTCCAACCAGATAATTGTGTTATTGACAGCTAGAGAAGGACAGCCTGGGTGTGAGGTTGCAGCCATAAAATGGGGACAGAAGCCGTATCCAGCAGTGAGCTCTGTGGAGGTATTGTAATTGCTTCTGACTGTGTGCGAGTGCACGGTTCAGTGGCAGCAGACAAAAGGAGTGATCCCATCACCAGGGCCAGATGAAATGTACTGCATTAATCTGCTGTGAGGGTGAAGTTTCTGCTCAGGCTGCTCCTCCGGACTTTACTCCAGCACGACTGCAGTGCACTCAAGGACACGCTGGGAAATAACTCTCCAAGAGTGGCACTCAGAGATCCCCGAGCTCAGACTTCTCAAATCCACCCCCTCGGCTACACATTATCTCCTCTGCACATACCTTTTAATGCCATGTGCGGTTTCAATAGGAAGACTCGCGCCTTCTCGCTGCAGGTGGCTGTTTAGGGGTGGACCCCCTAAAGCTGCAATCTGTAATCTATGCACTCCCATCAGAATTCACTGTATATATGCATATTTCCCATTTATACCCTCGTGTCGATGTCAACGAGGCTTTAACAGCTGTGTTTACCTGCTGCATACTTTCTGCCATGCAAGTATCAAAGTTACATTTCAGAGCTGATTAACGGATTCAGTCACACACAGTCTTGGCGTCGACGTCTTATCGCTGGGAACACAAGACGGGAACAGGGCACGTGTCAAAAACAGACGTCTTTTGCTCTTTGGGTTGTAAAATGCATCAGTTCAATAAAGCGGCTCTTTTTTATCAACAGGCTGTTATGTATAAGCTTGAATGTTCATTCTTGACCTTGGACATGATGGTCTGAGTAAACACTCCTCACTCAAGGTCTCCTTACTAGGCGTTTGTTCAGCATTCATCTCCCAGTTGTCTCCACTAATACGGACTGAACAATGCAGCTGAAGGCCTTCACAATGCCGGTAACGATGATCCGAGTTATTTTGTCAAACATTGTAACTCATTAAGATTTACTTTATACATCACCTCATTATTATTTTACATTATGAATTTGTTTTGTTGATGATGACGATATGTAAACACCCCAGAGTTTCATTGTTTCCGCAGCTCGACACAGAGCGGGCCCTTCAGACCCGACGCTGCCCACCGACACCCCCACAGCACCTTGTCTGCCCCCTGCCCTCTCTCCACCACCTACCATGTTTAAATCATGCCGCCGGTCCCCCCAAGCTGCAGCCTTGTAGCCAGAGGTCCTAATACTGCAGTGAGGTCCTCTCATTTAAGAGCCAAGAGGTCATAATGCCAGGGCAGCATAGTGTCAGAGCACTAATCATATAAGCAGCCCAAGATGAATTCCCACTGAGCCTCTGCGCTGTTGTTTCCCCGTCTCTCTCTCTCTGTGTGTGTAATTAGTAATAACGCCATTTGCAGTCGCTCTGCAGACGCCTGCTGGTCTGCAGCTGCTCCCTGGCTCTGCTCTCAAAGGCTCCACGCAGGAAAGGAGAAGCTTTAAACTGGACTTTTGACCATGAGAGGAACGTTCTAATGTGTAACTGACAGCTACTGTGTGTTGATATATTGCAACTCTGCTGTGCGGCCCCACGTCACACAGTCATGTCTAGATCATTCCAGCTCACCCGCAGGCTTACATTGAGACGTTCAGATGTGTACTGAGGTGCCGATCCATGGAGAGCTCTACAAACAAATACCTGCAGCTGAAACTCAGTCCTACAGTGTACTTGACAGGGAACCAGTGGGGGGGATGGTGACACAGGTGTAATGCCGTTTCTCCTTCTGGCACCCGTTAGAAGTCTCGCTGCCCTGTTTGTGGTCATTCTGCATCTTGTTTTGCGTCTTTTGGCTGTTTCCTGTCACTTTGTGCCAGTTTTCTATCACTTGGTTGACTTTCCAACAAGAGCTGTGTCCAGTCACGTCATACACAGACTTGGGTCTCAGGCTCTGAAGTAAGTTAAATTAGATAACATCTTCTTCCTGTGTTTCTTCCATCTGTCCACACAAACCACATGGTGTCTGTGTGGCTTGATGTATTAATGTATTGCTCTCTGACATGGCCTCAATTCCTCTCAGTAATTGCAGTGAAACAGCAGAATCACTCTGGCAGTGATATATTGACATTTACAGATGGAAAGGTAAGGTAAGGTTGAAAATGAGACAAAAAGTTGGATTAAATTAATCAGGAGGAGGACTGAAAGGCAGATGATGTGGTGAGGCCACAGACGTTCCTGCAGGTTTGTTTGACCGATACCTCCCGAATCCCACAAGCTGTTAATTGCCGACCTCCCCCACTGGGGTCGCCGTGATCGGCATCTTCCATTTTCACTTTGCCCTCCGTCTTGTTCTCGCCCTTCAACATTACACTAAAGTTACAGGTTTCCTGTGCAGCGTTACGACGTGTTGGGATCTCAGCTCCCTCTCAGCTTTCACTTGATCTGCTGCCAGTCTCTGCCTCTTCATACAAAAACTCCCCTTCTGCTTGTGTTTCAACTGGATGAAATTCTCTCATTAAAATAAAAATAATTACTCTGCTTTACCATCTCACATAAACACTCCCTTCCTCTTTATGTTTACAATATTAAACAATTTTAGGATCAAGTCTGCTTTACTTAAAGAACTCATTATTTGGCCGCTTGCCATCTGATCTATTGTCATTATAAAAATGACTGTTTATTGCCACTTTAAGGTTTGGTTATGTTTCGGCACAAGAAGACTTGGTTAGGATTCGGGAAACATGGCGGTTCAGGTTATACTGTCATAACTACTTTAGGTTCAGGGGACTCCTGTCATCACAGTTAAAACAATAACTACTTGGTTAAGTTTAAAAAACAGTCTTAGATACAGTGAAATCAATCCAGTGTTGAACTGTAAATGGATTTTATCCAAAGTGCTTTACTATTTGCCTCTGACTGACCAACTCACATACACACACACAACAGAGCGACTGAAGCATGGCACCGTGTCAGGTGCTGGACTGACCATCTGGTGAGATTTATGGAGCGTTTGCAGATAAAAAAAAAAGCCGGGACAGCGAAGGCTGCCGATCGCTGTGAATGAGACCAAAGACTGAGATGAGATTCAGAAAGTGTCCAGCTACGCTACAGGGAAAAGTTGGAGAAAGGCTCAACTTTATGCAAATGTCATCTGGCGCAGTGCGAGCGACAGCCAGGTGAGAGTCGGCTGAGGTCACCTTCTTTCCAATTTAAGGAGATACTGGGGAAAAACAGGAACGGCACATGCAAATGAAACGCTGAGTGCTGCAGAGTAGTGTGCAGTCGGAGCAGAGGGTGGTCAGCAACGCACCCCTAGAAGTGCAGATTCAAGAAAGGCCAACTAATCTGCTTTGGCTTAGAACAGGGGGAGCTGGGGATCGAATCGACAGCCTGCTCCACCAGAGGGTTACCCCGTCCAAGCTCGATACCGTGTTGCCCCATCCTCCTCGTGTGGACTTTTTAACATCAGTGAAACTCAGGTTTTCCTCGGGAGGGCGCTGAGTATTAACCCCTCCTTACCACCGCCTGTTTCTGTTCAACCATTCTGTCATTCATGCTTCTTGCACTTAATTTTCTTGCTTAAAATATCTTTGACTCGAACACTTTGTCTTTCTGTCAGCAGGTTCACCAAGTTCCCGCCTTTCTAAATGAAATTATATTTCATTGATTGACATGTCATTAAGATTTCCATCAATTCATCTCTGTCAGGTCCTGCTCTGGGTATTTCTGAACATCAGATGATAAACCTAGAGGCTGTAACCTCTCTGTAAATCTAGCATTTTGCTGCAGCTTGTAATACCATATGTCATATATATATATATGGCTTTAATAAATACATCTGTTAACACTGTCGACACCTAGAATGTGTGGGTTGCTGTCTGCTTCTAAAACACAGGAGCTTATTTGGGGTTTCTGTTGGAGCAGGAGGCCTGTAGAGGTGGGTGGCAGTAATCTGCTGAGGCTGTTTGCACTGCCAAAAATAACTGAGGAAGATGCAGAAGCGAGTCCTGCAGAGTCACTGCTTATCCAAATGATCCGATTCCAT